ATGTTTCTGAATTTTTTTTTACAGGTGCTGATCATAGATGAAGCTCACAATCTTAGTGACACGCTCTCCTCTATGCACAGTGCAGAGCTGACTGGAGCCCAGGTAAACACAGTTAAGCACATCATGTACAAATTAAATATTTTGTTATTATGCTTGTCCCTTTGATATGCTGAATCTGAATCTTCTGCAGCTTTGCCGTGCCCACTCCCAGCTCACTCAGTATGCTGATCGATATAAGTGAGTATACACATACAGACTCGCACAGTGAACCCATTAACAAATTAAATAATTCTTACACTCCTGACACTTGATATTTATGTGTCTGCAACATTAGGAGCAGGCTGAAGGCAAAGAACCTGATGTATATAAAACAGATTCTGTTTGTGATTGAAGGACTTGTCCGTGCGCTGGGAGGTGAGTGTAAATTAGTTTTTGATTATCAATTATTGCCAGCCTGCAGCATGGGTAGGAAGGGAAGTTTCTGGGCAGTGAAGTCAGCCACTGGGACATTTCTGATCTTGGTGTAATTCCTTCAGGTAAGGTGGGACAGAATCCACAGAGCCAGATTACACAAACAGGTCAGTAAATAATACATACATTAACACACACTAATACACATCTAGGCAGAAATTACAAAATGGTCATATTTGTTTATTTTTTTAGGAACAGAGATGCTTTCCATTAACAACTTCCTCTTCAAGGCTCAGATCGACAACATCAACTTGTTTAAGGTAGTTCATAGTGTTATGATACAGGTTAAAAATCACAATCCAGACTACTCTTCTCTAATTCAGTGTCACTGTCATTCTCACTTTAGTTACAGAAATACTTTGAGAAGAGCATGATCAGCAGAAAAGTGAGTGTTTAATACCTAATGACTTATTTATACCTCATAGAGATGCTGTGTAGTTCAGAGAGCAGTGAGAAGTACATCACCTGTGTTTTCTCTCTGCAGCTGGGAGGCTTTGTAGAGAAGTACGCAGGTTCAGGTGTGAGTTTACAAACTCATAGCAATTCCAACAAAGAGAACAGACGCACAGAGGGCTTAAACCGCTACCTTCAAACACTACAGAGCAACCAGAGCACTGCACCAGGTCAGACATCACACGTGTGTGCTTCTCACACATTTACCTCATTGCTGACATGTGGCATTAGGGTAGCAGTATGGAATAATTTAGCAAAAGAAAAGTGGCTCATATTCGGTAAAGAGAACAGCTTAAGCATTGGTCAAATTAGGCAGAGAAAAAAAAAACGTATACTTGGTAAGATTTGTTGAAACTTACTTTGAAGAGACACTTTGCATGACAACTTTGGATTAAAGTACAGTTGTAGGTAATGTGTTTTTTTTTTTTAATCAGAGTGGAAAGCTAGCCTATTGCTGAAAAGAAAACATTTATTAAATGCCTAGCTGTAATGAACGTTTTGTTGAATGGCACTTATGTTGCATGTTCCCAGTGTATCTCTGCCTCTCACATGTAGCTCACATGTAAAACTGACAGTGAACAATGTGTGTTTTCTCTAGTTCCAGTGATATTTTTTTCTTAATATTCATTATAATTACTCAGTTCTGTGTGCTCCCCGATCTGCAGTCTCTTCGGCAGACCAGCAGGGGTCTGTAGAGGCAGAGAAAGTGCTGTCTGCATCTCCTATGATGCAGGTGGAGGGTTTCTTCATGGCTCTCACCAGCAGCAACACTGACGGCAGAGTGGTGGTGCACAGACAAGGTACCATTGACACCCGTTTACACGCAAATAAATGGCAGTGATTTAATAAGGTTATTACAGTCCTCAATGTTTGTCCAGGTACTTTATCAGAAAGCAGTGTTAAGTTCCTGCTCTTGAATCCAGCAGTCCACTTTGCCCAGGTACTGAGAGAGTGCAGAGCAGTCATCATCGCAGGAGGAACCATGCAGCCTGTGAGTAACTTTAAATTCACTAAAAATAAACCATGTCTTTGCTGTTTAATCTTTGCTATTCTTAAAGATTTCATATTTAGGTTTCAGACTTCAAACAAGAGCTACTGTTTTCTGCTGGAGTTGGAGAGGAGCGCATCACTGAGTTTTCCTGTGGTGAGTGGCCCATTTCTTAACACTGTGGTACTTGGTGGAGTTTTGCTTGTGTTTCTATAATGCACACCCTCTCAGGTTCTGTTTTTTGGAATGTCTGACAAACTATAACAGATATTTAGTATGAGTACTAATTGTTAGTGGGTTATTTTCAGACTGACTAAATATAAGAATTCTGTCAAACTCGTACCTGGTTCAAGTGATGGAGGTGACAGATTATATCAGAAAAGAGCTTATAATGTTAAAGGACAGAGGCAAAACAAGACATGACTTAAAACCACGAGTTAATTGTCCATCCACTGTATAAAAACAGTAGCACCTATACTGAAGATCATTTCACAATTACATTTTCTTCTGTCATCACACAGGTTGTGTATTGAACTAGGAAGCTGAATGACACTTGTTTCTATGGCACTGGTATACAAAATTAAAGACAAATACTATTACTATATCCTCAGAATCCCAAGATCTGTGTGAAATTTTAGTACAATTCAAATCTTAGTACATGTACTAAAACAAACAAGTGTTAGGTATGTTCCATAATGCATATACAGTCTTATGCAAAAGTTTAGGCACCCCTTGATAAATAACAGATTTTGGTGATTTTTTATTTGAACAGATGTTAACACAGTTTCTCTTGGAAATGGAAAAAATGCACAATATTTTCTGAAAACAGTGATGCATAGTTGCTTCTTATGCTGTAAATTGAACAAAAAATAAAAACATTATTATGGCATGGTGCAAAAGTTTGGGCACCCTAAGAGTTCCAGAGTCTCAAAGTCTCTCACAAGGTTTCAGACCTTAATCAGCTCGTTAGATCTGATGCACAGCAACAGTTGTCATTGGTAAATGCCAATTTCAAAGCTGTACAAATACCTTGACTCTTCAAACCTTGTGCACACACTTGCGGACACCCAGCAACCATGGGTTCCTCTAAGCAGCTGTGTAAGACCCTGAAAATGAAAGTTATTGATGCCCACAATGCAGGAGAAGGCTACAAGAAGATAGCAAAGCGTTGTCAGCTTGCAGTTTCCACAGTAAGAAATGTAATTAAGAGATGGCAGATCAGGGGAACTGGGGAGGTCAAGATGAGATCTGGAAGACCAAGAAAACTCTCGGACAGAACTGCTCGTATGCTGGTCAGAAAGACAAATCAAAACCCCCATTTGACTGCAAAAAACCTGCAGGAAGATTTAGCAGACTCAGGAGTGGTGGTGCACCGTTCCACTGTGCAGCGATGCTTGCACAGACAAGGCCTTCATGGAAGAGTCAGCAGAAGAAAACCTTATCTGCGTCCCCATCATAAAATCCAACGTCTGAAGTATGCAACAGGACATCTACAGAAGCCCGATGCGTTTTGGAAACAAGTGCTGTGGACTGATGAAGTTAAAATAGAACTCTTTGGACACAATCAGCAAAGGCATGTTTGGAGAAAAAAAGGAGCAGCATTTCATGAAAAGAACACCTTGCCAACTATTAAGCATGGGGGTGGATCTATCATGCTCTGGGGTTGTGTTGCAGCCAGTGGCACAGGAAACATTGCACGGGTGGAGGGAAGAATGGATTCCACTAAATACCAGCAAATTCTGGAAGCAAACATCACACCATCTGTAAAAAAGCTGAAGCTGAAAAGAGGATGGCTTCTACAACAGGACAATGATCCTAAACATACCTCGAAATCCACTATGGAATACCTCAAGAGACGCAGGCTGAAGGTTTTGGAATGGCCATCACAGTCCCCTGATTTAAACATCATTGAAAATTTGTGGGTAGATCTTAAAAGAGCTGTGCATGCAAGACGACCAAAGAATATTACAGAACTAGAAGCCTTTTGCAAGGAAGAATGGGAGAAGATCCCAAGTACAAGAATTGAAAGACTTTTAGCTGGCTATGAAAAGCGTTTGCAAGCTGTGATATCTGCCAGAGGAGGTGTTACTAAGTACTGATTGTGTAGGGTGCCCAAACTTTTGCACCATGCCATAATAATGTTTTTATTTTTTATTTTTGTTCAATTTATGGCATAAGAAGTAACTATGCATCACTGTTTGCAGAAAATATTGTGCATTTTTTCCATTTCCAAGAGAAACTGTGTTAACATCTGTTCAAATAAAAAAATCACCAAAATCTGTTATTTATCAAGGGGTGCCTAAACTTTTGCATAAGACTGTATGTTATGTGCTGAGAGAACTGTCTATGAAATTGTTTAGGCCTAATGTCTTTATCTGATCATGCAAAATTCTTTTATGGTTGTATTGTAATAGTTCTATCTATTCTGCCTGGTAATTTGATCTGTAGGCCATGTAATTCCTCCAGAGAACATTCTTCCTCTTGTCCTGTGCAGTGGTCCCTCTGGTCAGGAGCTGGATTTTACTTTCCAAAGCAGGGATTCTCCACAAATGGTAACAGAGACACACTCTCAGAATTTTACTAACCTCTTGCTGTAATGTGGTTGACCGTTAGCTTCAACTGTAAATTTGTACCTGTTTGCTGACAGATGGACGAGACAGGGCGCATTCTCTCCAACATCTGTAATGTGGTCCCAGGGGGGGTTGTGTGTTTTTTCCCTTCATACGAGTATTCAAGGCGGATCATCGCTCACTGGGAGGCTAGCGGTGCTCTGGCACGTCTGGCTAACAAGAAGAAGGTGCGTGAGAAACACAATTTCTTTATCAAATGAGCTAGAAATGTTTGCAAAATCCACCAGCATGGTCCTTTACCCATTTCACTTTAGAAAGTCTCCTTTATCACATCTTAACTTAAGGGTAGTGTTAAGGAAAAATCACTTTGGAGTGCGAAGAGAACTTTACCAACCAGGCTGTTTCTAAGCTTTCACAAACACCTCCTCAGATCTTCCAGGAGCCAAAGAAGGCAAACCAGGTAGAGCAGGTGCTGAGCGAGTTCTCCCGTTGTATTCAGGTAGAACTGGCACATCACGCTGGTTGTATTTTTATTAGGTTTGATTGCCTTTACCACAGACACTCACTGGTTGTCTCTGTTTATTTTAGAGGTGTTCTCTTGACAGCAGTGGACTTACAGGAGCCTTACTGTTCTCTGTGGTCGGAGGAAAGATGAGCGAGGGCATCAATTTCTCTGATGATCTGGGCAGGTGCATGTAATTCATGAGCACATGGACAACCAACACTTGGATTAAGTATATAATGCTAAATGTTCTGACCTGTGTGTTTTTGTGCGCACGACCCCAGGTGTGTGGTGATGGTGGGAATGCCGTATCCCAACATCAAGTCCCCAGAGCTGCAGGAAAAGATGTCCTACATGGATAAACACCTGGTGAGAGTATTTACAGGCCTAATATTCTTCACTGTATCCACAAACCTGGCAGGCTCACAGGAATACTGAAGCTTACTGTCAGTGTTTGTTTTTTTCCTCAGCCTCACAGTAGAGGGAGGAGCCCTGGCCAAACACTAATAGAAAACCTCTGCATGAAGGCTGTCAATCAGTCCATAGGTAATGATACAATTTTCATGACAATAAGTATGATAGAAATTTATAAGATACTTGTTTATTACATATATTGTAAGATAATATGAATAGCATTCACAAATATTTGATTTCCTCTGCTCAAAGGAAGAGCTATCCGTCACCGTGGTGACTACTCCTCCATTGTGCTGTGTGACAAACGTTACTCCAGACCTGCTACTCTCTCTAAACTTCCCACATGGATCAGAGATCGCACCAACACGTATACAACTTTTGGAGCTTTTTTTTCTGCCTTGCGGAAGGTGAGAAGGGAGTCTAGTTACACTCAAAAACACTATCATGACTAAACCTTTAGCTTTCAGCATGTGTTTTTCATATATTCTTGACTAGTTTTTCCTGGAGAAGAAGCAGAAGCACGAGTAGTTTCACTCCAAATGGGCTCAACCGACATCTCTCAAGCATTCAGGTTCACGAGAAGGGGACAAGTCGGAGGTTAGGAAGAACTTCGGGAAAATCAAGTGCAACAGAAGTCACCCTGCAATTTTAGCAATTTAAGAAAGTGAATCTGTTCCAAAAAATACTGGAAGATAGTTAGAGGGCCTTTGTAATAAGTTCCTTAATACAGCCCTTTCATGGTGCTTTATGTTTACAGGTTTGAATATTTTGTTCCCATCAGAGCCAAGTGTCATTAACTGGAGCTCAAATGTTAACCAGGAGGCAGTTTTGTCTGTTTCAGTACTTAATACTTGTTTTACATCTTGTTCTCTGTTTTGGCCAAGTAAACCTATCGAATCAATTAAAGAATAATGAATCCAAGTATCTGCGGACACAGACTAAAGGGGCATTTATCAGTTTGACTCACTTGTATCAGTCTGGAACACAGAGAAATCCCTCTACTATTTAAATTCAGTATGTTAAATCAAATATTCAAGGAGTCAGACTGAGCACTTAGTCATCCACAGATACAATGGATGTTTTTTTTTCCCAGAAAAAGTATTCTATGTAAAGTGTTATGTAATGCAAAAATTGTTTCTATTTTCTCAGAGAGTGTTATAAGGACAATGCTTGTTTATTTATGAAAGTTTCTTCATATTTAGTATGATATTAATAAACTGTTTTGTTAATCTGCTTAGACAAATCATTACATTTATTAACATTATGAGGCCATTTAAGAGCCATTTCACAGATTCTGTGAGCAGGAGAAATGATCACCACTTGAAATACCAGGTGGGCCACAGAAAAGTAGCCCGCCTCCAAAACAATCCACTTGCTCCGGCTACTTTTCCGTGGCTCACCCTGTAGTTTAGTTTGGTAGATGCAATGTAAGTCCTTTGTACACAGAATTATCCAAGGCAACTGAATGTTTTCATTATCGGTGTTTAAATGTTAATTGCCCATCACGTTATGCTTCCCAGTCATCGTCATCCATTGCTGATTGCGGGGCAGGAAGTGGTGGGATGACATCTGACATCCTGGCAAAGGCACCGCCAGTACTTGCGGGAGTTTCACCCGGCTCCCCACCAGCGGGTCCCTTCCCAGATATGCCTACAGAAGGAAAAGACACACTATTTACTTTATCCCATTCCAATCACCTGCATCAATAATCCTAATCCGTCTTAAAATCAAAGACCCCGCTCACCTTTCCTTCGCATGGCAAGTTTATTGAAGAGATCAGACATAAAGTCTCCACCACTAGAGGCCACTCCGACTGCTGAGAGACAAGGAAAGGCAGTTAGTAAATATGCAACAGAGATTTTTTTTGTTGTTGTTTTTACCAATTGGAACAGTGAAATGGTTTCACTCATTCCCCAGTGCTATGCTTCAAAGTGGAGCACCTAATTACAATAAGACTTTTTAACCAGTTAGTACAAGGAACTGTTGGGTCATCATCTGGCAGACCAATCAGAAATGAAAGCAAACAGATTCTAATACTAGATCAGACCCCTTAAAACAGTGGTCCCCAACCCGCGGACCGGTACCGGTCCGTGGATCAATTGGTACCGGGCCGCACAAGAAATTATTAATTATTTCCGTTTTATTTATTATCTGAGTCTGAACGATCTTTTATTTTGAAAAATTACCGTATGCTCTCGGTTACATCTCGGTCACTTGAGCACCAAAACTGGCTTACTTGTGGACATATTCAGCCTGCTCAATGAACTCAATCTGTCACTTCAGGGGAAAATGACAACTGTCTTCAAGTTGGCAGATAAAGTAGCTGCATTTAAAGCCAAACTGTATTTGTGGGGACGGCGCGTCAACAGAGGCATTTTGGACATGTTTAAAACATTAGCGGGGATTTTGGGTGAGACTGAGCCTGAGCCTTCACTCTCCCAGCTGGTGCACGATCACCTGTCTTTGCTTATAAAAGAGTTCGAGCGCTACTTCCCAACCACAAAGGACCCACGAACTGCCAAGGAATGGATCCGCAACCCATTTGTCAACAAACCAGGTGAATCCAGCAGGTCTGTGCAAGAAGAAGATCAACTGCTGGAGATCGCAAATGACGGCGGCCTTAAAAGTATGTTCGAGACAACAACTCTGCCGGTGTTCTGGATTAAAAATACCGAGATCGCCACCACAGCACTGAAAACCCTGTTGCCATTTCCGACATCCTATCTGTGTAAAGCGGGTTTTTCTGCAGTGACAGCAACCAAAACAAAACAACGGAGTAGACTGAACATAAGCAACACACTTCGGGTGTCATTGTCTCCTATTACCCCCAGATGGGACCGTCTCGTTGCAGAGAAACGAGCTCAGGGCTCCCATTGATTTAGCGTTATGGGGAGTTGAAGTTTTCAACACAGTGGATTCACGTTTATTATTATATTAACAATATAAACAATCTACGTAACCCCCCCCTCTCCCCCCCGGGCCGCGGTAAGATTGTCAAGTGTTGACCGGTCCGCAGTGATAAAAAGGTTGGGGACCACTGCCTTAAAATACAACCAAAAATCTTTCAATGAATTTGAAACAAAGCAAGACTGTGATTACAACTATGTGAGATGTGTACACAAGCACTCAAACTGACAGGTAGTATGACAAGCTGTATAAACTCATAGATGAATACTAAGTGGAGATGGGTCCAGCTCTGCTTTGATTGCATAAATCACTGTTAAAGCTATATTGTGTATCATTAATAAAACACGAGCAAAATCACGTCCCTGCTCAAACAATCTGATACCTTGCTCTTGCTCCTTTTGTTTTTTCTTCTCCATCTTGCGCTCTTTAACGTTGCGCAACTTGGCTTTGCCGATACCACCGGCATTGCGGATGGACTCCAGCAGGCTGGCACGGCCATCTGACGGCTGCACCACCTCGCTGGGAGCACCAGACAAAGGACCTGCAGTTGGAGGAGACGGTCAGGTTTCATTTGGGTTCATGCTCATTAATGTCAATCTAATTTTATTTAATTCAACAAGCTCTCTCAATGTATGTGCAGGGAGGAGCAGGTTTTCCTCTTAGGCTGTAGTCTGCACAAAATTTCTACATGTGACAAACCTGAACTTGGTGGCCGAGAAGCTTCTGTGGGGCTGACAACAGGAGGAGGGGGTGGAGGAGGTGGAGCAGGGGGAGCTCCTGCAGGAGTAGCAGGAGCAAGAGCAGGCTCAGGAGGAGGGGGAGGCGGAGGTGGTGGAGGAGGTGGAGAATTAGGTTGGAGCTGAGAACCTGAAACAAAGAGATGAAAATTCATCTGTCAGCTTAAATACATTCTCATCCAAAAATACATGGCATAGTAAAAATGGTGCATGCAATTTTAAGTTTATTGGTACAGTAACTTTACAGATCAGATGTCAAAGTGCTTCACAGTAAAAGGCAAGACATAGAATAGACAAACAATATAAGTTAAATCTAAACAGGTGGGTCTTGAGAGGCTTTTTATGAGAAACATATACATGTACTTGATACGCTGCTCTCTTCAGAGAAGGAGGGCAGTTCAGGGATATTGTGTGTGGGCCCCGATGGGGCGAAACCAGGCCCGAGGTCTGCACTGTAGGACAGGTCATCTGCTATGCCTGGTAGGTCAGGCAGGTAGGAGGGCACATCTATCTCTGGAACCTCCCCCAGGTCTGGTACATAGAAATAACTCTCTGCCGTCTGTTAGAGAAATCAATTCAGTCAATGAACCACTACTAACTGACGATTAATTCAATCAATAAATCCTATATGTAAATAAATCATGTAAAAAATGTGCTTTGTTCTAAAACCAATGTGGCAGCTACCTGTCTCTCCAGTTGTTCTCTCTTTGTAATGGACAATGGAGCGTCAAACGGTTTCTCTTCTTTTTCTGTCTCTAGTGTTGTGTGTGTTTTTGTCACTGCACCCGCCAGAGGATCAAGGAACACATACTTCTTATATCTTTAAAAACACACAAATCCAAAAATATTAAGAAAAGGTGTAAATATAATCAGTGTTTACAGTTTGTGTATTTGTTCTTGTGGACTCACAGGTTCTCTGTAGTATTAAAGAGCAATAAGGAGCTGACAGATGAGATATTGCGTGGCAGACTGCCCAGACCTTCCTCTGTCTCATCCTCAGACTTCTTCTTGTGGCTTACACACACAGGGAAATACATTAACTTCTCCTGAAATGAAGACACAGAGTGAGTGGGAGATCTGTAAAATGTCAACTAAATCTTGACTAACGCAATTTTCAAATGCCATCAAAGTCCTCCTGCGATACTGACTTATGTGGTCGAAGACACTGCTTCAAGGGAATCATGAATAATGCATTGCTGCACCAGAAAAAAAAATTGCCAGCAGTGTTATCATTCTTTCTCCATTTCTGACAAATACACTCGGATACATATCCGCAAAAAAAGCCACACACTTGCAAGATCAAGCACACGTAGCAGAAAAAACACATACTACCCTTCATGAAGTTTCCTAAATTGGTAAAGGAAAAAAGTCGTGTTCCAGTACAGAGAAACACTGCAGCTTTCTACATCTCTGTGTAGTTTTCACCTTCTTTTTACCTCCTGATGGATTAAATTTGGCCCAAAAAGCCCTATCTTTAGATCTAACCCTAAAAAAACCTGCCCTGGCCTGATGAATATTCTATGTAAAAAAAAAAAAAAAGTTAATAAAATTCAGTGCAAATACCCTGGTGACCATTATGGGCAATGTGACATTTGATTGACCAGATGCTTGTTGGTTATTTGTTAATAATTAAAACTGATATATTTGAAAGCTAGGGCTGCATGATAAATCATTTTGTAGGCGTGATTTAGATCCCTGTGTGGTCTCTTATCCAATAGTAGGAATGCGTTACATCACGTGACGAGCTATAGACAGGAAGAGCATGATTAAAAAAAAACAAATCCAACATGTCTGACACTGTGAAAGATATTCTGTGCCGTCCTGCAAATATTTTTCAAACGTTGCGCTGCCTGCCCTGTACATCTAGTGCCGAATAGCAGTTGAGGCAAAAATAAATCACTTTGTGGGTATTAGTTGTGCTTATTGGTTAATGCAGCTTAGCAAGGAAAAGGGAGTGCTTGGTTTGATGCAAGGCATCTCAGTGCTACAGCCCCCATTTGCCAATATATAGGCAGATGGGGGCTGCCAATCCGACATGATAGGGTGACTGGCAGCTGAGGTCCCACTGGTTTCTCAAGGAGTGAGGTGAACTCTGTCCTGGTCATGTGACAGTGGACCATTGCTTCTTTTGCTGCTAACATGCTGCTGACCTGATTAGGTCCCATACATCCCTTTTTATTTGCTCATTGTTTTATATTGACTTATACAATTGTGTGTTATGTAAATAATGCGTCTTTTAAGCCGCGAGCTGCTGGAAAAAAAATTCGTTGTGCTATGCATAATGACAATAAAGATTCTTGACTTTACTTCACTCTTGAATAAATAATAGTGGGTTCATGGACATTTGTCCTTAGAGTCTACATAAATATGAGCAGTGAGATTTCAGCTCCAAGTTCTGTCCTTTGTATGACTGCAGCCAGAGCGGTGTCAGAATTCTTAGCAGTAAGATAAAAGCCATGTAAATGGAAATCAGTGATGGATCAATTTATCACCATTATGTACTTGCAGTTTTAGCAGTGTCAGCTGCACTAACACCATCAGGCTAGCTCACACTGTCTTTTAAGTTATATTACTATGACTTGCGGGCTTCTGGACATTACATTTTGTAAAACCATGGCATGTCAAGAATTTAAACCCTTGTACGACCAGCATTTTGATGCATATATCTCACATGCAAGGTCTTCTCATCAAAGGGACGAAGTTTATTCTGTATCCTGTGCCGGGGGTGGGTCTGTGAAGAGGGGTCTGTAGCTCCACTGAAAATAGATGAGTAATCCTGTAGTCGATCTGGGGCTGGGTACTTGGCACTGGAAAACACCTATACACACAGAAAAAAAACTAATATATCATAGCGATTTTGTCAATTTACTTTGTCTATATTATGTATCAGAGATAAAAGCTGCCTTGCCAAACTGCAGCTGCTGTTTTACCTTGGTGGCCTTCTTACTGCCTTTAATCCTGTCGACTCGGGCCTGAGCTAGTCTGATCCTGTCAGTGACGCTCTGCAGCTGGCAGCGGTTCTTCTCTACGCTCTCAGACACCCTGGAAGCAACACACACATACATATCAATATGAATATGAACATTTGCACAGAGAGGAAAACTACACAATTTTTTCTGAACAAAAATGGCAATAATCATGTAGCCTATTATAAACCGGTAAATAGACATTACTCAGTTGCAAAATATCTAAAAATTGGTTATTATCACAACTGACAATTTTATTTTATTTTGAACAAATCAGCTCATCAGTTTTAGCATTACTTATGCATGCATGCCAAGTCTTCTATTATTAATTTAATAACATAATATTATACATGTCAAATATGAAAATAAGCAAATCATGCTGCCTGTCATTTGCATATTGTAGGAAAAAATGTCATGCAAGAAAGCTATGTGACTTGTGTGTTTCTGGGTTTACCTTCTGAAAATATCTGTAGAGATGATCTCCAAATGGAGCAATGCATCTGCTATTTGATGGACAGCCTCCTCTCTCCTCAGGTCTGGTTGGATGAGAGGCACCGAGTACACCTGGCCTTCCAGGCTGTGCTTTTGTGTCATCCTAGAAACAACAACACAGTAAAGTTTACATAAAGAACAGTGTTGTGTGTTGAGCATAGACATTTCTGCTTGACCTTGTGATCAATGCGTGTCTGACATTGTAATTTCAGCTCAACCAATACATCCATCTTTGATCAGTTTGTCTGGAGTGAAACCCAAGAGGGTGAAATTTTAATTGTTTTCTAATTTCAGTCAACATCGTGATGTACTGTACAACAGCTGCTGGGCAGAGACATGTGAAAGCCCCCCCCCCCAATCTGACAAAGGAACAAGACCCCCATACTATCGATAACAATGTACTTGTAGTTGTTTGGCACATTGGCATTTCTTTATGGCCCATTTTGCGTCTCCTTGATGTTCGTCTGGTGTCTCTTCTACTTGTTTTGCACCTGTGTGTAATCATTAGGTGCCTCTTTGTGGTCATTTTGCAGGCGAGGCCCAGTGAGCCTGTGCATGGTACAAACATTAAGTGATCCAGCCGTGGTTAAGATAAAAACCTTGCTTCGTTCACACACACCACACTTCTCGACCTCATCTGACGCTCACATGATAATGCTGCTATATACAGATACTGTGACGTAGGTGTAATTATGATGCTCTGTGGTTATTTTCTGTTTCAGTGTGTAAATTGACCACAAGTTCACCACGTCGCCGTTTTTGCTAATGTCAACGATTAAATCTGCACTTAAACTGTTTACGAGAAAATATATTTCAAAGAAAAAGACGTTCATCGATGTAAATAGCGTAACACGCTAACTACCAACTAAATAAATGACTCTCGAAAGCCTGTCCATGCTAAAGACGGAAGCGCCGTGAACCCACTACGAGCTTGGAAATAGCAGACTTACCTGACCATCGGTGGTGTTTATTTATTACCGGCTACAAACAAAAATTTTAAGGGAAATTTTGGTTGTCGATGCTAGCAGCTTAAGTAGCTAACTACTTGCAACATTTCCATTCTTCCGCATTACTAAAACACGTGACCGCGCCTTAGCCTTAGCGTTGCCTTCATGTTCTTCGAAAATGTGTACTTTCTGATTTGAACGCACCTTAACAAGCTATCGTGGGAGAAAAGTGATAACATGACAATTTTGATAAAACAATAATACCAACATTGTATTTCTCAAGGATATGATAAGTATGATTATATATACTGACAAAATATTCTCAGCACAACCGTTCAATAATCGTTGAATTGCAGATGCCATTAATCAGTGTTCAGATTTTTTTATGTATGTTCAATAAACCAGGCACAGGAGAGTCCCGCATACAGGCCCTTACTGAGTCTGTTTCTACAGCCTGTAGGGTGCGTGCTTGCTCTGGTATTTTCTCGGGTTTGTGCGTAATAACGCATCCGTCCTCCAGTGTCTCTCCTACCGCCTCCCTGTCACATCTGGATCTGACTCCTCTCCTCAGCACCACTCAACGCAGTGGGAGAGAGAGGGGGGGGAGGAGGGTAAACGATCGGGGAAGCGGAGGCTAGCTCCGTCGGTGCAGCCTCATCCACCACCGAGCAGAATCAAGGAGAGGAGAGCCAAAGGACACTTCACTCTCATCCGCACTCACGTATATCTTTGCATCTCGTCTGTGCTCCATCCGACAGTCCATCTTATATTTTCTTCTCATTTTCTCGCTTCGTCTTGTCTTGGATATGATGAGCTCCAGCCTGTTAGAAAATCCAGTGCAGGCGATTCTGTACCTGCGGGAGCTCACCACCATTGTCCAGAACCAGCAGAGTCTTATCCAAACCCAGCGCGCCCGGATAGAAGAGCTGGACCGCCGCCTGGACGAGCTCATTGGCGAAAACAGGCACCTACGGGACGTCAGGGTGCAACAACAGCATCCTTACCATCACTATCATTACCATCACCCCGACCCCAGCTGTCTTCATCACCACCACCACTCTCAGGATCCCCAGCTCAAGACTAGCGCGGGGTCTGTGACAGACCATGCGACTGCACAAAAGCAGGTCGAGGAAGCCGCCGAGGTCCTGTCATCGCCTCAACCTATGGACCCGGGGAACATGCAGCTGGTTCCGGCCGATCCGTCCACAGTTTCTCCGGTTGAAAGTGACCCGGAATACGTTGGAAGTTGCCCCAGCTGCCGCTCTTTGGTTCCGATGACCCCCACAACCCTTTGTCGATCCCTGGTTCTGGCTAGGAAATCCGAGTGAGTAGAGGTTATATGGTATTTTGCATGTTTGCGTGTGTCAGTCCTGGCTAATCCAATTTATGGACCACTAGGAATGTTTGTAGGCTATATTTGAACGTTTTGACTGCTGACCTTTTTACACCATAAATGCCCTACCTTTGCCTGTTTTGAATTCTACAGCCTAGTAGGCTATTTGTGTAGCATCCGTCCAAAACCGTCTAATTAAGAGCGTGCGTGTGGTTGTGTGTCCTGCAGATTGAGAGGCATTTAATTAATAAAGACTGCGCTTGCGAATTTCCCATTTTCAGGTGTGTGTGTCTGCTAAGGACTGTGCCAGAAGAGGAAGAGGTGGATTATTTAAATGAGAAACTGGATCACGAGCACTGGATCATTACATAACAAACAGCTGTAGGCCTGTATGTGTGTGTTCGCGTGTGTGCTGGAAACACACCGAGTACCAGCGGTCAATGTCAGCTCCAGACAGGAGCAGCTTTATGTGAGATGATGAGACACCTAGAGTCGTTGTTCGCGCTGCTGCTGGTTTCTCTGTTAATTACTGCACGTGATCTGGGAACTCTCACGGGACCTCTGGGACTCAAGTCTTTACACTGACTTCCTGGAGACTTATCTTATTCATAACCTGTACTCGCCTAACCCTTAACTTAACCTTAACCTTATTCTAACCTTAAACAGAGACATATCCCTAACATTCAACGATTCACTTTGTAGGGGACAGGCATCCAGTGCCCACAGTGTTAGTGGGCTCCCGGTTTTGGGTCCCCTTAAATACAGAAAAACAACCACTACTCTCTTCTTGGAGCCATAAGCCTCATAGTACATCAGCGCATCATCTAATAAGATAAAACCCTCTTTCTGCCTTTTTTCTATCTGTGTGTTCTGCTCATAAGTTCTACCTCAGCAGGAGTCCTGATTAGTCTCCCTGGGACTTCACCCTCACTGAGGGGAGCCACATAAAACAAAAGTTGAACTGAGGAGCAGAGTAGTGCAGCGAGAGAGATATATAAGCTACATTAAAAAATCTTGTTGATATCAGTCTTACAAGGACATGATTAATCTGCCACATGTTACATTTCATGCTCTTGAGTTGTGTGTGTATGTGTGTGCCTGTTGCTCTCCCTTGAAGCCTTACTTGCAACCTGAGTCATGGTTGTGCCCTCCAAATAGCTTACCCTGTGGTAGCTGTTTGTTATTCTTCTGCAAGAATCAGCTTTGGTTCTTAATTCAAATTAATTTTACTGGTTATCAAGAAATTAAAATAATTTTTAAAAGCTGCGGGCAGAAACCAGCAGTTGATCAGGCAGCAGAGTGGGCTAGTGGTTTATTAAATGACCTTCTGGCTCCTGCAGTTACTGCTGTGTGTTCTTGAATGTGACCTTACATCCCCGCTGCTTTATTGAATTTAAGTCAATCTTGATAAAACTGGGAGCTTAAATCCTAATTTCTATTTTTCCTTCTGGCAGGCCAAATAGATGAGGGGGAGCTGGACCTTCACTTGAATTTTTAGTGGATTCCTCTTCCTGTCTTTGTCTGCTGCATCCTGTCAGCAGCTGACTTGGAGATCTGCCCTCTGCTTTTCTTGTTGTCAGTGTGTGTCAGCATGTTGTCTGTGTTACAAACTGTGTGTGGCGGTGCCTTTGTATTACTTACATTATGGGGACTGAAACCTGTTAACACACTGTGGGGATTCGACCATCCTCTGGTCCCCACAAGGAAATCACTGAATTTTAGGGTGGCAACATGGTTTAAGGTTAGGCAAGTAGTGTTTATGTTTAAGGTTAGGGTAAGTCTACAAGAAATGAATGTAAGTCAGTATAAAGTCCCTACAAGGAATGAAAACACAGGTTGTTTTGTGTATGTATGTGTGTGTGTGTTAGTGTAGGTGTACTGTACGCTTCCTATATATGGTTTCTTTTCAGATAAATGAGATGTGTGTTCAGCGTAGACATGGCTGTGATTACATTTGTGTGCTCTACATTGTTCTCAAAGTTGCCCCTGCAACATACATACATACATCCACTCATTCTGTATCTGTGTGTCTCTCTCTCCAGTTGAGCCTCCTATCTGCCCCACTTAGCCCATGGAGCGAATGGTAATCAGCCATTCTCAGGAGAGAGAAAAAAGCAGAGAAATAAAAGAGAGAGGTGCACACTCATTCGTTGTCTTTGATGGAGCCCTTGGAGGTGTCTAGAGGAAGGAGCTGGAGGCTGACATTGGAGTGGATCAGTGAAAAGGAATGAGGCTGAGAGACAGAGAGAAGAAACATAAAAACAGAGAGTTGGCAAGGAGAATACAGGAGAGGGGGGTGGTTTCAGTACATAAAGAGTGAGACAGGTACACTGAGAGACCAGAGCAGAAAGCAGGTAGATGGAAAAAAGGGTGCATTTGCAGTAGCTGTCATCGTAGTTTATCTATGGCGGATAAATAGATAAGTTGGACAGCAGAGAAACAGGCTGTGGCATCCGGTGGCACAGAAGAAAGTGCACACAATGTACTGGCAACATGTTTGAGTCCAAATGGAGCTGTTCTTGTTGCGTGACAACCCTCCTCCTTGCTTTCCTTATAGTAGCTACTGGATACTGGCTGATGAAAAACACCATGTTTAAAGTACTTCTACAAGAAAGACGAGGGGTGGTGTGAGGGAGGATGAGGCACACAGAGCAGGAGAGAACATGGGCTGACAGCAAGAGGCATGTACTGTTAAAATATTCACCTGTTCTCTTTTGTCAGTGAGGCTGTAAAAACAGGTTCCAGGTAGAGCTAGAAAGAAGACAAAAAAGGTCAGAGGCCACTAAAACTATGCTAGCCTTTGGGAACCCAGTGAATGAACTATCTCTACAGGAAGAGTTGCAGAAAGCCCTAAGACAAACTGCCTTATGATGCGTCGTCTTTGTAAGCGTTGTCGGAGGCAGATGGCCGTTATGTGTGTGTCTTGTACAGACAGATGGATGGGCTTTCTGAGTGTGTTTGTGTTTATAAATGTGTATGTGTGTGTGTGTACATGCTCAGAGACCCAAGCAACCTGGCCTTTTGTTCACTGCATGACCGAATCAAACTGATCAGGGCTGTATATCAACCTGACAAAATAATTAAGCTCAGGAAATGACTTTAGTAATTACACTTTGGCCTGGTGGTTATCTGATCTCCCTCCTGTAACCTCCATTTAAACTTCTCTTGTTAAAAAATTGACTCACTTTATAGTGCCCATATCATTTTTTAGATTTTTTTTCCACGTTTTGTTCTATTTTTGTTTCTATTCCATAGATTTTGAGATATTTTTTTGGACTAATTTTAAAGCTGAGTTTGACACTGTGTTTGTTTTCTTATAGAGTTACCACATCTGTCTATAAGCTATGAAGCTACAGCTAGCTTAGTTTAGCATAAAAGCTGAAAAAATGGAGAAACAGGTAACATTAAGCAGCTTCTATCCTAAGATAAAATCTATCAAGCAGCACCTCTAAAGCTCACAAATTAACATGTTTATAAGCTGCTGTTTAATCCAAACAACTTTGAAGTGTAAATGCTTATTTTGCATTGTTTGCACTATTTGTTGCTTGTTAATACTGCTTATTTTGTTATATTACACAGCCTTATGCTTGTTTACTGTTTACTTGCCCCTTGCATGGGGATGTGTACATGCACATTGACATGCACAGCTTATGTACCAGAGTCAAATTCCTCGTGTGCCAATCACACCTGGCCAATAAAGCTGATTCTGAATCTGATTTTATAAATGATGTGGTGTTGGCTTTATGACTTTAAACCTCATATATCAACTACTGACAGCGTGCTGAATTTCAACTCACCATATGATTTTGTTCTCCTACACATCCGTCTGCCAGGTGTGCATCAGAAAACACTTAGTTTGGGCCTGTGACCACCCCTAAGCCTGCAAGGCCAACTACTTCACATTTGTACTACAAAGATGCATGAGTCTTATATTAGTTTGCACATAGAGAATTCAACATTGAATATGAAGAGATGCATCAACTCTGAAATGGATTTTTAAATAACGAATGGATAAAAAGGCAAACAGTTTAAATGAGGACATTCAAATACATTAATATGATGTGAGGAAACTGTGTCTGCAGTTAAAGATGTTTAAAGGTAACACTGAAAAAATGAGCCATTTATTACATTATTACTTTAACCTGCAGGTAACCTAAGGGAAAACACACAGCTCCTTATTATCTCATTGTTTATTGTGCATTCAGTCCACCTGTGTATTCTAAAATGTAATATATGTTCACAAGTATGTGAGAAGGCAGTCAATCTGGGTGAATGACAGATTTAGTTCCACTGATTACAAGCGGTGTCGGCTACTTGTGAGTTTTCACCAGTTTTTCTGGTGCTGGAGACAGAAAAGAGCTGCACAACAAAGAAAATGCACAAAAAAATACTGTAATATAAAAAAAAAGTAAGGTCTCTGGGAGTTATTTATTTCACAAATATATAAATGTATGAGATTCAAAATATATTGACAAAGGCAGCAGGTACTGTGATTTGATTCTCACCTGTGAAGTTCTAACACTAAAGTTGTAAACAAAGCAATTTAACCTGTGTATATGTACAGTATGTTTGAATGTGTGTCTGTGTGTGGTGTTACAACAAATGGAGAAGTATTATTCTTAGGAACCAAATGTGAAGAATGTCGATATTTTAACAAAGATCCGTCCCCCTTTAAGTCAGTGGAACTTGATGTGAGAAGGTAGCTTTTTATAGTTCTGACTGTCACGCTGAGTCTTGCACTCACTTTGAATGCCTGTCACTGTGGGTCTTTGTCATGAGCAATATACTGTGCCTAGGTCAGAAGACGTACTGTAGCATAGCCAAGAATTTCACTGTCAACAACTGAGTGCTTTAAGCATATTGTGGAAGCACCTGGTGTGACCTGCACTCACGCCCATACCATCCAAAAATGTACCCATGAGGCACTGAACACACAGTATAGATACCGGCTTTCATCAAACTCGATTTGACAGTTCTAGGTGAAAGGTTAT